GAACCCCTTGTCAGAGGATCATGTGGATGGTTGTAGCTCATATGCTTGGGTTCAGCAAGCAATTGGAGAAATTAAAAGGAAAAAAAAAGGAGCCTTACCAGCAATTTACACTGACTTCTAGCTACAGATTGTAAAATTGCTAATAATGCAAGAAGACGCACGAACATTCAATGCACACTTGTGCTATACACTTACAAGTGGAAATTACAGTAAATTATTTTGCAAGTAATCCATATCAGTACAGTTTAGAACATTTCAAAGTAGGCTAAGTAAACATGCATCAGATTTTAGTAATTCTTGTAATATGTGGCAAGTATTTTAAAAAGTGAAATAAGCAAGGTAACCTTCTGGCATAAATCTGATTTCTATCCTAAGCAAACCTGGAGTATGTGCTCCAAGACTCAGAAAAGAAACAACCAAAAATAACAATTATTGCCAATCACCACTTCTATGCAGAAAAATCTGATGCTAAGATGAGAATTTCTTGGCCAAGTCAATACATGAAATTACATTTTTAAAAAAAATATATCTATTAAAAGGATCAAAAACTACTGCAAGTTTCAGAATTTTGTGGATAGTATGTGGTGTAAGTCATGGAAGATAAAACCAACAAAGGCCTCAAGGATTTGTCAAACCAAAACTGCTCCAGACAAAAGTTTGTACAGCTGTTCTCAAAAAAGCACACGCAAGGGAAACTGCAAGCTCTTAAAATTCATTTTAGTCTTCAGTCATGCTTACTACTGAAAGTATTTTCTAATCTCTTAACTTCATAAATTCTGATCTAATTTCTTGTTCAAAGTTCTTTGGAGCTGGTGAAGAACAGTTCATTCTCTTCCTTTTTGCTGCAATATTTTATGTCTGATGATTTGTGTCTCTCCTTGAGCCTCCTCTTCTCCAGAGGAAACATTCCTTATAAGTACAGCACTACTCGGCAGAAATCTGTTCCTGTCTCTTAAATACTAAGGCAAAGATCAATGGAGAGATTAATAATGTTAGAAAGCGACCTACACAAACTCACCTTGCTCAGCCAGATCAAACAACACCTATTTTATTAAAACACAAAAATAACACACCTAGACTACATCAGACATAAAAGTCTACTTGGAGATTTGGCTTTCTCTGCATTGCAGGAAATAAGGAGAGACATGAAGAAATACATAAAAGCTAAGATTAACATGATGCTAAAAGGACCAAATATAGGCAAGGAAATAATACTCCTTTTTTATAATGACTGGCACAAACACTCCTGGGTCAGTTTTTCCTCCCAATTCTAAGTTGTGCTATTTAGGCCTCTTTTTCTCATTTTCCCCAAAGTAGCACCCCATATCCAATGGCCCAGCAAGACTACTCTCAGCGTATCTTTTCACAATCTTTACCTGCTTAGAGCTGGGGACAACTCTTGTTGGCATTCTCAGTAGCCTTTGACGTTATCAGCTTCTCTATATTCCTCTTTGCTTTGCCTTGCACAACTGTCCTCTCCAAATACATTTATGATTGTTCTTCTAAGTGCAAGTGTAGCAATATATTCACAATTATGAACTCTTAAGCATTAATTTTAACTCTAAGTATACTATTGACTTACAACACAGTTCAACTAGGTCTCCCTAACAAAACCTCTTGGCAGCTGTGCTAACGATGCTAAGAGAGCT